TTTGCTGAGAGAAAAAAATGAAGACAAAGGTCAAAGGGCATCATGTAATGGGTTGAGTCAGGGAAGGAAAAAAAGCATTTTTTCCCCTCTCCTTTTCTCCACAACAGTCTTTATATAGAACTTGTATAAGAGCCAATTTATTTGATATGGAAAAAATGTGAAAGCAGCAAAAACACACATACACACGCACACGCACACACACACACACACACACACAAAGAGGTATTTGTGTTGGAGTTCAGAACTCAAATCACCGAGAGATAAAGAAGTTGAAATCGTAAGTTTACTTGGAATGATGTTTGACTTTTTTCAGAGTCTCTGAGAACATTCAGGTCAGAAGCATAGTCCAATCCAGTCCTGGTCGCCAATAAATTCTTTGGGACTCAAGAGAGACAGAGAGGAAGGCCAGTGAAGACTTCAGTCTAGCATTTGTGCTGTCACATAGTCAGAACTAAAGAGATACATGTTGAGTAAATGGAAAGACAAATGATCACAAAGCATGGAACCCAATAGTGGTAGTTTTAGAAACAAATTCACATGACTTGGCATTTTACCAAATAGTTACGGTCTTCATACTAAATGTGAGTGCCCAAAACATTAAAAATAGATCTAATGTATCCGGCAACCCAGTTCCTTTTGTATTTTGCATTTGAAAAATGCAAAAACATGAATTCAAAGAGATGAATGCCTCCTCTGTCCATCACAGCACCATTTACAGTAGCCAATCTATGGAAACAACCTACATGTCCAATGACAAGAGGAGTAGCTAGAGATGATGTGGTCTACTCATATAATGAAAGAGTGCTCAGCTATTAAAAAAAAAAAAAGATGAAATCTTGCCACTTGTGACAACATGGATGGAGACAAGAAAAATAGTGAATGATTTTCTTCATATGTGGATTATAAAGAAATAAGGCAAAGGAACAGAAAAAAAAAAAAACTAAAACAAAATAAACCCTTAAAATTGGATTGCAGAAATGAGGCTACCGGACCGGGAGGATAGAGGTTGGGAACAGATGGAGGAGGGGGTCTGATAGGCTACTGTAGAGGATTACGAGTGCTTTGGTAGCAGGTGTAGTTTAGGAACATACACCTGAAGAGTTGTGAACTTGGGCCTCCCCGGTGGCGCAGCGGTAGAGCGCTGGGTTGCGAAGCTGCCCGCGGCCTCTGCGGCGCCGGTTCAATCCCCGGCTGCTCCCCGGCCACCGGAGGAGGGTCCCACATGGCGCGCAGACCTCTCCTGTCGCCCGCTGCTCCCCTCAGCAGTGTACTTCGGTCCTTCTGCCTGCTCTGCTCCCCGCTCTGGCTCTGGTGAATTCTCTCACCCTCCCGCGCTTCTGACTGTGCCCAGTGCATGTATAAACAAAACAAACAAACAAGCAAACAAATAAATAAAGAAAAACATGCCTCTATTAAAAAAAAAAAAAAAAAAAGAGTTGTGAACTTAAATCCCTAAAATATACACAACGGGGCCTCCCTGGTGGCGCAGGGGTTAAAGACAGCTATGGAGCTATCACCAGCCACTGCAGCACAAGTTTGATCCCCCACTGGCCAGGGAGCTACCCACATGGTGCAGCAGACCTCTCCTGTCTCGCCCGCTGCTCCCCTCAGCAGTGTATTTCAGTAAGTATGCCTGTTCTGCTCCCCACCTTCTCTGGTGAATCCTCTCATCCCCTACACCTCTGGTCTACACCCCAGTTCTTGTATGCATAAATAAATCTTAAAAAAATTAAAAATATATACACAATGTTGTAAACCAACATTACCTCAACAAAAATGACTGAATTCAAAACTAATAATAAAGAGTGAGTGTCTATAGGAAAGTGGCCAGGCCTGAGTCATCTCTATAGTCTCTAGCTCCCAGGGCAAACTCTGGCACATAGAATGTTCTCAATACCTACCTGTCAATCAAAGGATTAGTTGAATGAATGAAAGAGACCTTGGAGATTGCTGGGTCTTGGCTATCACTTAGAACAGTGGCGATTATACTTTAACTGGCATCAGAGTCACCTGGGGGGACCCTGGTCTCACTTTCTGATTCACTCAGCTGGGAGGGGCCTTAGAACCTGGCCTTTCAAAGGACTGAGGTCATGTTGATGATGCTTTTCAGGGGTACAAGTCAAGAACCTGATTTAAGGCAGAAGTTCTTAAACTTGGCTGCATCTTCTAATCAACCCCCTCAGGTGGGGGTGAGGGGGAGGGGATGCCAGTAAGATGCAGGTGATTTTAAAATGCCCCAAGCTTCCATAATGTGCAAATGAGTTTGGGAACCACTTATCTACTGCAAGCCTAAGATCATCGAGCAAGTATGTGAGGTAGCTGAGAATAGAACTCAGAGTGCGCTTAGTTCTTCAGTTTAGTTTTCACCATTGCACACTTATTAACCCATTTCAGTTTTCACAGGTTCATAACTGAAGGCAGAAAATGAAAAAGAAAAGAAAGCAAGCTGTGTTCCAACTGAGGTTTTAAATATTTCTTCTCTCCATTGTTTTATAAGGAAATTTTAAGTGGATGCATATTTATAGAACTTTGCCATTCAAGATAAGTGAGGAGATGGAAGAGATGGAATATTTTTAAAGGCAAGACGATCCTTTAAATTTTAAGTACATTCTCCAACACAAACTAAGGGTGCCCTCTGAGTTCTTTAACAGATGTTCTTCATCTTTAAGTCAATAAATGGGAAACGTTTTGGTTGTGATGTATACATGAATTGCTGGCATGTAAAAGGAAGTCCTGGTAAAGTGTTTGAAAGTGATTCTATCTCTTAAAAAGATTAAATGTTTCCTCCAGAATTTGGTTTTTATTAATGTTTGGCTTAGTAAATATTTTTAAGTTGACAGGGATGAGATTGTGACTTATACTATCTTAGAAAAATAGAAAGAACCACCAAAGGCTCATTAGAAACCATTAAGTTCAACATCTTCATCACACAAGTGGAAATTTGAGATTCAGAGAGCTCTATTGATTTATCTAATATTAATATTGGACTGGCTGAGGTTGGACACAAGGCATCTCACTCCTGAGCTATTATTCTTCCCAGTATTCAAAGTGTCCCGTTCCTATGTCCCATGCACATAGTATATGTTCAACAAATGTTTAGTGTCTGGCTTCACAGATTCCTGGTATCCACATTCGATGTCTCAGGTCCTTACACCTGTTAAAGCAGAAGTTGAAACCATATATTTAATTGAACACTGGCTAAGTGCACTGGCTGAGGAACTGGACACAATTCCAGTCCTAATCTCACCACTTCCTACTGTGTGATCTTCGACACATAACTTTGGACCTCTCAGCTGCAGTTTCCTTCCTTGTAAAATAAGAAATGAAAATGAAATGAGTAAAAGATGTGAAGATCTTAGTCCATTGCCTGGCATGTAGAAAGAGCACTTAAGGACATTATTATAAGGTGGTCTTTCTCGGGCCTCCCTGGCGGCACAGTGGTTGAGCGCTGGGCTGTGAAGCTGCCCGCAGCCTCTGAAGCGCCGGTTTGATCCCTGGGCACCAGTGAGGGTCCCACATGGCGCACAGACCTCTCCTGCCATGCCTGCCGCTCCCCTCAGAAGTGTACTTCATCAGTCTGCCTATTCTGCTCCCTGCTCTGGCTCTGGTGAATTCTCTCACCCTCCCACACTTCTGACTGTACCCAGTGCTTGTATAAATAAATAAATAAGGGCTTCCCCGGTGGCGCAGCGGTTGAGTGCTGGGTTGTGAAGCTGCCCGCAGCCTCTGCAGCGCCGGTTCGATCCCCGGCTGCTCCCCGGCCACTGGAGGAGGGTCCCGCATGGCGCGCAGACCTCTCCTGCCGCCCGCTGCTCCCCTCAGCAGTGTACTTCGGTCCTTCTACCTGTTCTGCTCCCTGCTCTGGCTCTGGTGAAGTCTCTCACCCTCCCGTGCTTCTGACTGTACCCAGTGCATGTATAAACAAAAACAAACAAACAAGGGCCTCCCCGGTGGCGCAGCGGTTGAGCGCTGGGTTGCGAAGCTGCCGGCGACCTCTGCGGCGCTGGTTCGATCCCCGGCTGCTCCCCGGCCACCGGAGGAGGGTCCCACATGGCGCGCAGACCTCTCCTGCCGCCCGCTGCTCCCCTCAGCAGTGTACTTTGGTTCTTCTGCCTGCTCTGCTCCCTGCTCTGGCTCTGGTGAATTCTCTCACCCTCCCGCGCTTCTGACTGTACCCAGTGCATGTATAAACAAAGAAACAAACAAATAAATAAATAAAAAAAAACATGCCTCTATTAAAAAAAAAAAACAAAACAAACAAAAAAAACAAATAAATAAATAAAACACGCCTCTACTTAATAAATAAATAAATAAATAAATCTTAAAAAAAAATGTGATCTCTCTCATCATAGATAAAACCTGAGGATATCTGAAGAAGGGTTGATGCAGAGGTGGCTTGAAAGGTGAATATTAAGGATAAGTATATTTTCCAGGAAAGCAGCGAGTATCCAAAATGAATTACTGAATTATCCTTATAGAGCTACCAGGATTCTTAATGATCAAATGGTTTGAATCTCTGTCCCATTTCACAAAAGAAAATAAGGACCATGGCTATTACTTTCATGTTTCAGCAACATTCTTATGTAAATACTAGGGACTTGCCGAACTCCTAGGCCACCTGCTATAAATTCTCCCCTTATCACCCATTGATAAAACAATCAGAATACATGTATCTTCTTCAACTTACTTGAAAAAATCATTAGTAAACCTTAGCTTTTCCATTTTTATTAGTAATAAATAACTTTCCCATCATGACTCTTATTCAACCTTCTTCATGTTACTGTTGGGTAGTGTCACACGTTAAAGCTCTCTTGAAAATTCAGAAATCCTGGTTCCTTGCCTATTGCTCTTACCACCAGAGCAACTCTGCCTTGTTAAGACAATTCTACACCCGATACTAGGTTCCTAGACTCTAGAAGTGTGTCTGACTATAATGAGCCAACTTCCAGTCCAACCTCTCTGACTTCCTTTACATCTGCCTATTCAAAAAGTGCACTTACGTGTCCATGAATCTTCTGTTGAGGTGTAGGATGGAGGCCACATCCACTTGGAGAGGAGGGTCCCGGACCACCTTGTATTGCAAGGGCTTACACTCTAGGCAGAGTGGGCTATCTGCAATAGAGGTCAACATGGCAGCATCGATTTCCAGGTGCTCATCCAATGTGTAGATCTGGATGCCATACACTTCCTCACCCACATCCCGAAGTTTGATGGTCAGTGGGACATCACAGAAGACATTCTGAGGGCCAAGGGAGATGTTCTTCCCACTGACGGTCAACAGTTTGATGTCATTGACAGCCCCACTGGAGTCCCAGTCAGTGGAGACAAAGGTCACCCAGATGGTCAAAGACTCAGGGACCAAAGGATAGCGGAATTCCAGTTCAAGGTAGCAGCCTTGTGGCTCAGGACAGGCTGGAGGAACTGTGTGGGGGTTGACAGCTGAATTTGGGCTCCAGGTACGGACACTGGACTTACAGGGCTGTTCAACATCTGGATGACCTAAGGAGAAGAGATGAGGGTATGAGTTCTTGCTAGAACTTCAGTTTGGTTCTCAGAGTTTCCTGCAGACCTAATGAGCATTTGACATGACTAGAAAGCTGACAGAGGGGGGAAAGAGAGGGAAGATTCTGTGTCTTGGTAAGTTTACTGTATGCATAGAGCCCAGCTCCTCCTCACCTCTGCAATATAGGTATTTGAACAATCATCATACGCTCAGTCAAAACTACACTCATATGTCTTACTATCAAGTTGATGCCCAAACAAGCCTTCTTCATATTCTACTTGTAGCTTTTGCTGCCCCAGATGGAAAAAAAGAAGGGACACACATTTGCTAAAGACCCAGTGTGTCCCATGAACTTATTTTATTCTTGCAAGGACTCATTTAAGAGGAGTGGGAATGGTGTGAGGTAGTGGTCAAGCTTCATTCTTTTGCATGTAGCGACCCAGTTTTCCCAGCACCATTTATTGAACAAACTTTCTTTGCTCCAATGCATAGTCTTTGCTCCTTTGTCAAAGATTAGTTGACCATAAATCTGTGGGTTTATTTCTAGATTTTCTATTCTATTCCATTGGTCTGTATGCCATACACAAATATCAACTCAAAATGGATTAAAGAACTAGACATAAGACCTGAAACCAAATATATAGAAGGAAATATAGGCGAAACACTATGTGATTTGCACATCAAAGACATCTTTACAGACACATCACCCAAAGCAGTGATAGTGAAGGCAAAGATAAACAGCTGGGACTACATCAAATTAAAGAGCTTCTGCACAGCAAAAGAGACAATAACAAAAACAAAGAGAAACCCCACCAACTGGGAGAACATTTTTGCACACAACGCTAATGATAAAGGACTGATCACAAAAATCTGCAAAGAGCTGATGAGGCTCAACAACAACAAAGAAAATAACCCAGTCAAAAAATGGGCAGAAGAGCTAAAAAGAAACTTCTCTGAAGAGGAAATGCAAATGGCCAACAGGCATATGAAAAAATGTTCAACATCACTTGTAATCAGGGAAATGCAAATCAAAACTACCATGAGATACCATCTTACACCAGTGAGAATGGCACATATTAAAAAAACTAGCAACAACAAATGTTGGCGAGGGTGTGGAGAAAAAGGAACTCTTCTGCACTGTTGGTGGGAGTGCAAACTGGTCCAACCACTATGGAGAGCTGTGTGGAGATTTCTGGACCTACTAAACATCGAGCTTCCATATGATCCAGCAATTCCACTCCTAGGTCTTTACCCAAAGGACACAGAAACATCAATTCCAAAGAGCACCTGCACCCCTATGTTTATAGCAGCACTATTTACAATAGCTAAGCTTTGGAAACAGCCCAAATGCCCAAAAATAGATGACTGGATCAAGACGATGTGGTACATATACACCATGGAATATTACTCAGCATTCAAAAAAGATAAACACATGCAATTTGCAGCAACATGGATGGCGCTGGAAGGGATCATGCTCAGCGAAATAAGCCAAAAAGAAAAAGAAAAATACCGGAAGGTCTCACTCATAGCAGGAATCTAGAAAACTTAAATAAGGGACCAGGAAAATGAATAACTATAAGAAAGTGAAAATCAAAATCAACAAAAAACTATGAACCAGAGACACTTTTTGGGGGGTGAGGGGCGGGAGGGGAGGGATTGGGGTCAGAATGGGGGGGGATGCAATTGTATGGGGAATATAAAAATAAAATTTATTATTAAAAAAAAAAAATAAGAGTGGGAAATAAGAGTCAGAAATGTGGAGTGACCAAAATCTCACAGCTTGAAGTATAATGCTCAGCAGCAGAACCCAATTTTGTAACATCCTGAAGAAGTTCATATTCTTTATTCTTATTATTGGATGCTGGAGCCTCTATGCTAAAATCCCTGCGGTTCTGCCTTTGGTACAACCCACCTGGAATGACAGATAAGCCAGAAGCCATCAGCAAAGAGGAGCTTCTGCCCCTTGGACTGAGGATTCTGGGAGGAAACTGTCTAGAACCATGAATGACAGAGCTGGAAGACAGTCCTGGAGTCCTTTTATCTCTCCTCCTCCTCTGCTTCTCCACATGAGGTCATTCCACACTACTGAGCTTCTCTGTGCTCTGTCCAGTCTGACTCAGGAAGGGGAGGGCTGGGTGAGGGGCGGGGGAGAAGGAAGAAGGGATTCTTCTACTCTTTCCCCAGGGATACTATGCCTCATCCCCACTGATCTCAGCCTGCAACGACTTCTGAATTTTTCTCCACTGAGATCATTAGTCTTAGACCCTCAGAGACCTCTCTTTTGCACGGCTGAGAAAAGTAATCAGGAGTCAATGTGGTGATTGACTCTAATTTGTTTAAGGGAGTCTAGCAAGAGATACAGATCAGCTAGTAAGGGTAGCATGGGGGATCTCAAATTGTCCTATTAGCACATTCTTTTTTTTTTTCCTCTGTGCATCAGTGGTTGGTGGGGGTTGGGGATGCTGGATCTCTCTAAAGAAAAGGAAAAAAACAATCTTTGTCTGAAAAAGCTTTGTGGTAATGTTACAGAATAACAGGAGTCATCACAATTTGAAAATTAGAAAGTAGTTTTACATAGATAATCTATTCCAGGGAAGCTTTAAGTGCCTCTGATCTCCTTGTCTTTGCCCAGCCAAGAAAGAAGGGAGAAGATACCAAGCGCAAGTGGGTAAGGGAAGAGAAGAAACAAGAAAGGGAAGCAAGACAAGAAAATTCACAATGGCATTTTAGAGATAGTGCATCAGAACAGGAGAGATGGACATAACTCTGAGTCCCTCTCTACCCTTCGTTGGCTGGAGTCATTCACTACTGGCAGCAAATATTGGCTAGAAGTGACCAGTTGTTTCATTCAAGGGCACAATAAAACTCCCTACCCAGACTGAAGTCTTTCTTTCCTATTTATTCGCCCACCTAATGAGTTCCTGATTCTCTTGATTTTGTGGGTTGTTGCTATACATCATTCATTCATGCATTCATTCAATAAGCTTTGATGATGACAGCATATGTATTTTCATATAACTGAAGCACATTCCCCAGATTCACCTGATTGTCATCAAACTGCTGTAAAAACAATTATAAACACGTCTCTATTTTGTAGCTGTTTTCACTCCATGCCATATGGCTATTGCTTACTACAATGACTAGTCCACAGAGAGTGCACATAGTGGATACTCAAAATATTTGTTAAAGGAAGACTCTTCTATCCTGTTTACATGGAATTAAAAAAAAAAAAGAAGTTAATGCTCCATGGAATATCAGAGCCTGCTGTGCTATGGTGAGCGCCAGGTGAACATTCCACCCCTCTGTGGGCTTTTTCCTGGAATTGGCAAGGGATGGAGCCATCTTTCTCCCCTCTTCCTTGGAGAAAACAACTGTCAGTGGTGGGAAGCCACAGGAGAGAAAAGATGACAAATCTGTTTGGCTCATCCTTTCTCCCTGGTTTCTTGTACATCAACAGAGGGACCAAATGCTTTCCAAAGGACAGGAAGGTGAGCCTGGTCATTATGCTCAAGAAAGTTAAACAGGAATAGCAATTGTAGCATAGCTTGTGCTTGTCTGGTTATCAGAGGCAAGCAAAAAAGAGCACCCTGGTTCATGGAGTCCAACCCGTTCCTATAGCAGCAACCCCTTTAATAACAGCAGGTTTCACGAATCGACCATCCTCTCTGTGTTGGGCACCGGGCCAAACATGTTACATGCCTCAGCTCTTTTCATCCTGGCAATAAGTCTATGACGCAGGTCTTATGAAACTCATTTCACAGAAGAGGAAACTGAGACTCAGATGGTTAAGTAATTCCCTAGTGGGGAGTAGAATATTATGTGATACTGTTGGTCCAGGCAACATGCCAGGCTTTGAAGCAATGAAAGTTGGGCTAAAATATCAGCTACACAGCTTTTCATTGTGTCACCTACTGTAATGATACCTGCCCCACAGGGCTGCTGTAAAACTCAAGTGGGATGAGATATTTAATAGATGCTTGCAAATGTATAAGCTCTGATCTGTAAAGGAAGGGGGAATGAAGAGGAAACTGTTTGGGAGGAAGAGGTATCTGAAGCAAAGAGGTATCTGGGAGCAGTTGAGAGAGAATGTGAGTTGAAATCACTGTGATTTTGAGTGCAATGGGAGAGCACCAAGGAATGAGGCAAGCAGTACCCATATTGAGAAGGTTCTTGTATGCCACTATAAGAAATTTAAATTTATACTGACAGAGATGGGGAGCTACACAAGAGTTTTAAGCAAACAAGTGAAATGTGTCTTTAAAAAAAATAAGAACCCTGTTAAGAGACGCACACACCATCCATACATTTGGCCACCTATCCACCCAAAGAAAAATTACTGCGTGCCTGATTTGTGTCTGGTGCTAAGTTAGTCCCCCAGGGAAACAGTTTCTGCAGACCTGGTCTCTGCCCTCATGGAGTTTCCATTGTAATGGAACCAGTTAAGCGATCGCTGGAGAATGCAAACAATACACAACTGTGGCCTGGATGAAGGGACCATCAGAGGAGATGAGGACAAATTAAAGTTCCTAAGGAGGGACAATGGATACCACTGGGAAATTTTGGATGTATGATGGGGAGGTAAGGAAAGAAGAAGGGGAGGGAAAGAAGGAGAGAGAAAGGAGGGACAATGGGGAAAGGGAAGGAAGAGGAGATAAGGGAAAAAAAAAAGAAAAAAGTAAAGAGGAAGGAAAGAAGGAAGGAGGGCAGGAAGGAAGGACAAAGGTCCTGTTGCTTCATTATTAACACACACCCTTTTGTATATCTGGCAACTAAAGAAAAAGTTCCATGTTTATATAAACTGTCCACCCAAAACGGGGCCATATATGTGTGTGAAACATATTTATATATACTTATGCTGATTTTAATTTACATTTATGAAGATCTATATAGACATCTATTATATATATTTATGTGTATATACCACAGCTGTTGACACAAATACAGTCACAAAAACTTGGTGCCAAGTTTCTTCCAGATGAATACTTCAGCACACCTGAAATATTCTGGGCAGAAAAACGGGGAAAGACTGACACAAATAAGCAAAAATGAAAACATCGCCATGTGTTCATCTCTCCTGGAAAACTCAACACTTGGTGTATTTTACGCTTGTAGAAAGTGATCTAAATTGGGATTTGAAGCACTTGGATCCCAGCTATCTAACTGCTAGATTCGTACAAAGCACGGCTTTGAATTCATCAGGAAATGTTCATCTAAGAAATAAAGTTTTTGCTAAAAAGAATAGGAAAACAGGGCTTCTTCCTTTTTTTTTTTTTTTTTTTTTTGGTACAATCACGTTCTATGGCCAAAGTCAAGAATTTGCCTAAAGTTCATGGACAGGAGTTAAAATGGGACATAGAGGGCATTCAATAAATATTTGTTGAATGAAGAATCATCTATCTTGCTAAGAGGGCATTAAAATAAGGGAGCTATAGCCCATGGACTATCAGAGCTGACAGGATGCTCACTCTGTAGACAAGACGACATCTTCAGAGAAGTGAAGTGACTCACCCAGGGGCCAAGGGCATGGGGATGGCCAGGCTGGACCAAGGACAAGTCTTCTTCACCCCCCCCCCACTACCCCCAGCCCCTGGCTCTTTCCCCGACCCCAAAGATATGTCTGGCATCGCTCATGGATTTGGGAGTTTTATGTTAGTTTGGGAAGTCCAAAAACTTAAACACGCAAAGATAAATAGGATGAAAATGAGTTGAGAAATAAATTGCAGAGTTTGGCTCATGGAAAAGTTTATTTCTTCAAGGATATTAAAAGGGTCTGAGCCAAACGGATCACAGAGCCTGTAATAGGATGCTCTAAAAAAAGAACAGTGTCTTTTCCTGGCCTGTGTGTACTAAATTTACATATCCTGAAGGAAAACCCGGGGTTGCTGGGTTTCCACGGAGGCCTGAGTCAGCTTGGGGAACTCGGGGGCTCACGCTTCTGGTTGAACTCCCTTCTGCAGATCACGCTTGAGGAGGGTCAGGGACAGACAAACCAGGAACAGACTTAACCGATTGACATTTGGGTTGGATGGAGGTGTGGGGAGATGTCTGGAAATTATTTCATTCACACAATGGTAGAACAAACCAAGATGATGTTGGCCAGAGAAGTCTCAGGGGGAGAATGTGGCTGATACTACTTTTCAAATATCTTGCAATTCTGTGACTTCTTTCCAATATCACTGGCACTGACCTTACCAGGCTGCCACCCCTCCTTCTCTGGTTCCTACAAGTCACTTTGCTGTTTCCTTTCCTCTAGCCTACTCCTTCCCCAGCCTGGTTGCCACAGAGCAACCTAAGCAATCTTTCTAATAAGATGCATGACTCTCTAAATAAGGCCTCACTGGCCTCGCTGTAAATCCAAACCCATCCTCATCTGGTTGCTATATATCTTGACCGGTCCTACTTCTCCCCCACTCCCCACCTTGCTCTTCATGCTTCAATCCCATTTAAACTCTGACAGCATGACCGGGGAGCTTGTGTTTATGTGTTACATCCCTTAGTAGTTACCGCACCATAAATTAAAATTGAGAAACTTGAAAACACAAGATCACGTGTTTCATTAGCTACCACAGCAGTAACCGCATCACCTTCCAGGTAGCCACTGAAAAGCTCCCATGTACTCTCGGGAGAGAATGGGAGTGAAAAAGGTAAGCCCTGTATGAGTACTAACTGGGAAAGCAATTTTGGATTTTGAGGACACCCTAAAAAAACTGTCCAGGAACCCCATAAGCCTCCGGGTCGTGCAGAGAAAACCACTACTCTGAAAGTGCCAAACTCCTTTCACATTTTCAAATGCACCTGGCAGGTTGGTTTGACCTTGACATTTCCCAGGAAGTATGAGTCTCAGTTCTGGGTGAAGTGTCCTTCTGGCTGACGAGCCAGGCCGCTGCCCTTCTAGCAGGGTGGGCTTCCTCACACTGAGTGGTAACTACCTGTTTACTTATCTGACACCCCTATCAGATGCACAGCTCAGCTGTGCCAGTGTGGCACCTGCACCCAGCTTCTGTGGTAGGTATCACTCTCACCAGTACGTGAAGTGTTCTCAAAGGGGACAGACACACCTTCTATGAGAACCCAACATGGGCTCAGTTTGGGTGGAAAAGTCTTGATTGTAGATTTCAGGAAGAAATTGCTAGAAACGGAACCAGCAGAGGAAAGCCAGGGAACTCTACAACTGGGGTAGGAGAACATCGGCGAGGGAAGGCCCAGACGGGTGTCCGGCCTGGGTGGGAACAGGCTGGCTGACCCCAGGCGTCCCTTCCGAGTCTGACAGTGTGTGATTCTGCTGGCTGAGTGGAGGGCTCCTCCTGGCATCCCTCTGCTTTACATTCCAGATGGATTTGTTTAGAGTTGCCTGGTTGGACTGCATTTTTATTTTAAGCTACTTTTGAAGATAGCAAAGTACAGGGCTGTCATGTTTCTCCTTCAGTCTCCTCTCTGACCCCTCTCCCTTGCTTTATTCTATCTCTGGCTTTTTCTTCTTGACCTCTTTCTAAAAATATAGAGAATAATGGAGGAGGTCTCACTGAGGCTCAATAAGGACTCGGATTCTGTCCTCTGTGATGGACCGGCGTCCCCACCCAGGAACAGACAGCAGGTTCTGACCTGCGCAGGAGCAAGAGGCATGGGGCGACTGTTCTAGTTGTTAGTCTGAAGGCAAGGGATGGGGAGAGAGAAGGGGTCTCTCTGAGCCTGGTTTCAGGGACTAGATCTGAGCACGAGAGAGAGAGAGCAAGAGAGAGAGAGAGAGAGAGAGAGAGAGAGAGAGACACCGAGAACAGAAGGAAACCTAACAGGCAATTTTCCACGAAATTCTCCACATCCAAGCAGCCCTGCTGGAGTCAAGTGTGTGGGTCTGGCGTGGCTGCTGCTGTAAAATGGAGCACAGAGATCACTGGCCCTTTGGAAGAGACATGGAAGACCCCGGAGCAGGGAAGAATCTGGTCATGGTGTTACCTACCACAGTGCCATTCAAGGGGTGCTTCCCTCAAGTGTCTTATAGAGTGATAGATCCCCAGAAGGGGGTCATGTGGCAGAAACAGAGAGGAACAGTGTGACACAAACAAGCATGCCCCGGGGATTCCCAGAAATAACTGAAGAAGAATCAAAGGCCACTGATGCTTTGAAGCCCCAAAGATGTGTATTGATTCCAGGATGACCTTGCTTATACCCAGAGGCTCTCAGGGTCTGCCAGCACATATAAACATGCACACACAGACGGTCTATATCAGGTGTGTGGCCTTCGGCACTTACTTAATGTCTCTGTCCTTTGTTTCCTCATATATGTAAAGAGGGATGACACAGGACTGTACATAAGTTCAAAAGACGTGTACTGAATGAATGAATGCATGAGTACTGGCCTTGATATTGGCCAAATCTTGCAATTATAAGATGAATAATTTCTGGAATTCTAAGTTATAGCATGGTAACTACAATGAATAAAGCTGTACTGAATACTAGAATGTTGCTAAGAGAAGGAAATGTTAAATGTTCTTTAAAAAAAAAAAAGATGGGGCCTCCCTGGTGGCACAAGGAGTTAAGACGGAAGCTATCTGCAGCCACTGCAGCACTTCGATCCCCAGCCAGGGAGCAATCCACATGGCGCAGCAGACCTCTCCTGACTCGCCCACTGCTCCCCTCAGCAGTGTATTTCACTCAATCGGCCTGTTCTGCTCCCCACTCTGTCTCTGGTGAATCCTCTCACCCCCACACCTCTGGCCTACACCCCAGTTCTTGTATGAATAAATAAACAAATCTTTAAAAAAGAAGAAAGATGGTTATGTGAGGCGATGGATGTATTGATTAACCATATTGTGATGACCACTTTGCAATTTGTATGCACATCAAATCATACTGTTGTCTACCTGAAACCCATGCAATGTTGTATGTCAGTTACAGCTCCATAAAGGTAGGGGGGAAAAAAAAGTAAAAATATCTATATTGGTCTTGCAGGGAAGTCTTACATCTGAATGAGATGGGCTGTGGAGAAGACCACAGGAATCATACTTTATCTTCATGGAAAGTGCTATTCTTTGCACACCCAACCTGTAAATGACTCTGCAAGCTGGCTTACCTTCAGCTTCCCGAGGACTCCAGTGTCCTGATGGGCCGCAGGGCATTGGGGAGGAGGCATTGAAGGCATACTGCACCAGGATTCTCCCTTCCAGGCAGAGGTCACATGCTGATCCCAATTCTCTAGGAGGCCAAGGAAATAGGGAAAATGCACCGACTTAGGAAAAGTTGAACGAGTCCCTGACTCTAGTAGGCCAAAGGCAACAGGGCAGAAGACACAATAATTCCATGTTATCTCCTTCCTATCTGTGCTAAAGCTTCCAGAATAGGACTGTAGATGAAGCTCCTCCCCACTGTCCAGCAATGATCTTCTGTTATGATGGCAGATACACTTTAAATTTCAAGCAGCACAGAATTAACAGGCTAACAACTAACTACCTGCGTGGATCTTAATTTCTACATCCACTGAGACTTTCATACATGGTTGTGAGAAAATCTGCCCGATCTGACCTCAAGTTTTATTCTTTGAACAATATTTATTAGGCTCCATCCTGTGTCATAGGTATTGAATAGGAAGAAGACACGGCTCAGGTCCTCCAGCTGAAAATGAGCAGGTAGATGCCTAAAGTACTTTGCAGCCCTTATATTTTACAGATGGATGGAGTCAGCCCTTGATTTGACAGTCAAAAGCAGTTTCCTCGCCATGTCATCTACTTCATTTTAGCAGCTTTCCAAGGAATGAGCCAATCCCTCAAAGAGATCGGTCCCGGAAGTGGAAGACTGTGGTGGCTTTCCCTACCATCTATTGTCTTGTGTTCTGGATGCAATCTCCCGTTGGCCACAACAGCCTCCAGATCTTGCTTGGCATCTTGCCAGGCACTGCATCCATTTAGGAGGTAATTGTGGGGAAGAGGTTGGGGTGAGCCTCCTATGCTATGATGGACCAAAACTGCAAACTGAGTCACCTCTGCACAGAGAGTGGAAAGGGAAGATGTCAAGACATAGCCAAGTCTAACCCATTATTTCTCAAGAGGCAAGGTTTCTGCCAATGCCTCTTTCATCTCCCTAAGAGAATCTCTGTCCTTTGACTATAGAAGGATACATGGATGAGTCCTGCCTCAAGCCTTGGAACATTCCCTTCCCAGGAAATCTCTGCAGCTCCTAGGCTCATGGTAAGGAAGACTGCATGTGAGCATCATCCCCTCCTCTCCACACAGCTGAAAGGGAGCTCATTCCCAAGCCTAGATCTAAACTAGGCCATGTGCCTACTTATCTGCTTATATAGTGGTCAACACACGCACATCCAACACATGGATGAATAAATACCAGACATGTGGCTAGGGCTCATGACTAATCTAGTCTAGATCCTCAAACTGCAGATTTTGCGTCTTCAGCTTTTTCACTGTAAATATGAAATCACATAAAGGCAGACAATTCGCAAGCACATTAATACACAGTGATTGGAAAAAATGATTAAATAGTCTAAGGTTGACCTATTCAATGGAATAGTAAGCAGTTACTACAAAATATAAGAATTATGAAATTTCATGGAAAATGTATGCTAGAAAGTTAAGTGAAAAACTCATATCAAAACTCAATCTATGACAGCATCTCAATGCTGTTCTAATAACTTTAATATGACAAAAATATTATTGGTTGTAAGTACTGAATGGTGGAACTTAAGATGAACCCCCTTCCTATTCTTTCTGATCTTTTGAATTTTCTATATATTTTGAATACATAGGTAATGCCCTGTGATAGCAATAAAAATAATTATACAAATACTCTTATAGACAGGCATCAAGGAGTGGCGAGAGAAAGATTTCCACAGCACCACTCTGGAGGGCAGAATTCCATTTCAATGACCACAGTCCTTGCATAGCAGCTCTGAGTCACATGACTGGCTTAATGATGACAATAAGATTACCGGAGACAGAATTAGGAGCTACACTGACCTTAATGATCATTGAGTCTTTCTTTCTATTTCTTTAGCTGTTTTGTTTTGGATGATGCACAGAGTCACCTACCCTTCATTGCATTCTTGATATATCCTTGGTTTATAATAAATAATTTAACATTATTCATCTAACAGTAAATGTGCCTTCTTTGCAGAGAGCTCCACAGAGTGCATTACTTCATGTTCTACCGTTGAGTCACATATTTGTTCATGGTCTCACCTATAAGTTCAGTGGATAATCATGGAACAGTCTTTGATTATTAGTGTCCAAGTGCATATTGGCTATCTAGGGTGAGTAAATTAGTGATGGTACCTGCGCTCTCAGAGCCTGCAGTCCAGTGGAGGCAATAGTTCAAAAACAGATAGCTAAATATATAAAATTACAGATGCAGTAAGTTCTAGAAGGAAAGTAAGGAGGGGAAACAGGAGAGGATGGGGGAAAGAGTAACTCTGATCTCCGTAAGATTGGAATAGTCATGGAAGATCTGATCAAGGGAATGCCATGTATTTATATTGAGATTGGAAGGATGACACAAAGATTGGATGTAAAACATTTCAGACACAGTTTCAAGAATTCTAAAGGGCCTAAGCAGGGATAAAAGTTTTTGGTCGATAGGGTTCCTGAAGTGATCCTGATGGGATCACAAATGAAGGAAAGAGTCTTAATAGAGGCAGTTGGGCATGTAGGCAAGGGCCAGATCTTGGGAGGTCCTGTGATTATATATAAAACTAATGGGAAATCACTGGAGAGGTATAAGTTATGGAGGGACATGATCTGATTCACATTTTTAAAATATCAGTCTGAATGCTAAATGTAGAATGGATTGGTGAAAGGAAGGCAAGAATAAAAGCAAAATCAGCAATTATAAAGCAATGGTATGATTCTGTGTATGGTAGATGATATTCCTCTTTCATAGATTAGGAAACTGAGGTTCATAAGCACAAAGTAATCACCCCATGCCATAGTGCAGAAAGTCAGCCTCAGTACAGGCTTTGTTGAAATTAGTATCTATGCATCCAGGAATACAGTTTCCCCTGCTACTGAAAGTAGAACATTCCTATGTAACGTTTGATAAGCCAAAATAGTGTAAAACAAAGAAACAATTACCACTTATTTAGATGGAACAATTTTTAGGATCCCCAGATGCAAAAATGACCTACTAAATCACACCAGATAATATACCAAATCTACAATAACACTAACACAGTAAAAGCTGGAAAGACATGATTAATACACAGCTTGCACAAGGTAGATCCCAGAGAAAGAGCATGGAGCTGCCACTCTTGCTGTTCAGGGTGCTGCAAAATAAATGCTGAATTCTATTTCACTTTTTGCTTTTTATCATAAGAGTAAAAACTCTCTTTGGATTTTTTTCAGTAAGCAAAAACAGTAACTAATACAGGTCTTTCAGAAAAGCAAAGTTTCTAACACAAACTTTCAAAAAGGGGCATGTATTTCATCTCTTGACATTTATATGATGTTTATGGACACCTGTATCTACACATACCCAGTCACAGAAACACAGAAAGATGCACCCATACATGTACACACACCTGGAATCATAGATGCACAGGATACAAATACCACAAGGGATCCTCTTTCTAAACCGGGTTCCATGAGAGTAATAGCTTACAGTTCCAAGTCTGAGCTGTCCAATAAGGCAGCCACCAGCCACATGAGATTATTTAAATTTAAATTAATTAAAATGAAATAAATTAAAAAAATCCAATTCCTCAGTCCTATTCATCACATTTTAAGTGTCCCATTGTCAGAGTTGGTTAATGGCTACCATATTGGGCAGTGCCGACATATATCATCCATTCATGCAGCAAGTCCTGCTAGATAGGGCTTCTGTAAGGCCTCCAGTATATATAATAATTTCTCTACTATGCATCCAGAATGGTGCCAGTTAAGGGCCATCCTTGTAAGAACTGAGAAAATAGTAACTCAAGTCATTTTCAGCATTCTGAAATTTGCAAGAGGAACTTTGGTTAAGAAAGGCTGGACTCTCTTTGGCTTACAGATCAGAAAATAGGCTGAAGAGGAATTGGGAATGAATGAGATCACAAGACTGGACCCTAGTCTCTGGATTCCCTGTCCAGTGCTCTTTCCAATGCATCAAATCCAATTGTTCAGATAACTAAAACCATCCAGTCAACACATGTTTGCAAGGCAGATAATAATAAAGCAGCTAGAAAAGCCAGGGGTGGCCTTGAATTATTTATTCAGTTGCCCATGTGTGAGGACACAGGCTGTGGGAGGATCTGAATATGTTTTTTTAAGGAAAACCCTTGTATTCTCTTAGACCACAGATGTGAGGAACAGCAGGAGGACATGAGGATGGCCAGGGGCGAGAGGTTGGCATTGATGGATGTAGTGGAAAACACCAGAGGTTTTGCAGGGAGAGAGAATTTTCAAGTAGCTAAACAGCTCTGGAAATCTGCACAAGATGGGAGCTAACATTTCTTGAACACTGAGTGTGTGTGCCAGGCATACCACATGTCATCCTGTTGAGTTCCCCATAAAACCTGGGTGACATGAGCATAATTAGCACATTTTTATGGAAGAAGACTCAGAGGGTCAGAGAAGATCAGAGAGGTGAGGCGGCTGTCTCACCAGAGGTCCCACAGATTAGGGGTGGAGAAGCTGAGACTGGAACACAGACAACCTGACATCAAAGCTTGTGCACTTTGTATGAAGCCACTTTCCATGAGTGTAAACTCTGTGTATGGGAGAGTGATATAAATAGTTCCATTTCTTTACAACAATTTATTGAACTTGTGGACTGACTTCCTCTAGACATAGACTATGGTCTACATAGCTGTTAACCCTAATTAGACATGTTTCTGAAATGTCAGTTTTAATTTAACATATGATAACTCCGTTATGAAATCTTAGACTGAACAGAATAGCTATTGTAAGAGCCTCAAGCACCAACTGACTATAGGTTATTAAAAACATATTGATTGAAGCTGAGGGCACTATGTAATAGAGACATATCTCATTACACAACAATTAACCCTCCAATAGCTTTCCAACAATCAGATGGTATTTATTTAATGGACAATAACTGCTTTATGAAATACAAATTAAATACATACACAGGAAACTTCATTTACAAAACTTCCATTTTTAAGTAGAATTGAGGCCAAGGCTTGACCAAAAGTCTGATACTTCTCATCGCCACAGAAAAAATAAATAAATCTACAGGCTGTTGGAAAGCCTGCTCTGAAGTGTCACATGAGGTTTCCCAAACCAGCTGTGAGGTCCCAGTGAGGGTGGCTGGGCCAGAGGAAAGGGGGTCTCTGCAGAGGGCGGAGGGGTACTTTTCCTTCCCTGCAATCACATTCGACCAGCTGACAAATGAAGGCTCTCGGAGCGGGGACTGATGGTGGTGGGGAAAACTGGAGCCTGATTATATGATGCCAAAATCTCATATAATCTCATATTTTTTTTTATACTACATGCATATACACTCACAGCCGTAAATGAGAGCTACCCAGTAACTTTTGTGACCCTTGGCGGGTGGAGGGTAACACCTCCATCATAACTGGAGCTTTGGAAGGACTTAGTGAAAGTGTGTGAGCCCCAGACAAGACCCTAAACCCTGAAGCTAAGAGCGAGCCCAGCCCCCACCACTTCTGTGGGTTCTTGGTTAAACCGCTCTACCTCTTTCAGCTCCAATTCCGTCCTTACTGAGCAAATGAGGATGATAATTCCCTCTTGATGAACTCAATGGAAAGATTAAATGAGACTCTGTATATATACCATTCAGTACAGAATCCAACAGAGTGAGTGCTTAATAAAAGGTAGCAACCACAATAGGGTCATATTAATGAATCCTTAGCTGGTAATTGTTTTCGCCATCGTCTTTGTCATGCCATCACTATTAGGTAAGATATGCAAGAAGGGCGTGGAGTGGGTAATATATGAGTCCTAAATTATATCTAAGCACCAAAAAAGAGGTCAACCTCTTAGTCCATTTCCATGACCCTTTGGAATTGAGTCCCCTTAAAGTCTGAGCTCCTCCCTCAGGAGATCTCAATGCTGGAAGGCACCACAAGACACCTTTTGACTCAGGTCTCCACCTTGAGGCCACTGAGATATCACTAGATCCATCCTTCAGGGGAAGAGGCTGACTCAACTTGGGAGGGAAAGTGACTTGCCAAGGTGATAGAGCTAGTAAGCGTCAGAAAGGGGAACAGAACAGAGAAATGTTGTGCCTGTTTTTCATTCTCTGGCCTGAAAGTTCTACCTTCAGCACTACAAAGAAGCACTAGGCACAAAGACTGAATTATATACTTTACAAATATGCACACATATTAATGTACAATGTATGAGAATGTATACATATACATCTGAATATATATTTATATATGTAGTTTGCACATGAAGGTGTGTGTCCATTAACCAGAGCAATTTCAACTCCTGAGCTCACAGAGACAAGACTCACGTCTTGATCCCAGGTTTCCAGGTATTCCAAGGTTTCCAGGTATTTAATAATAAAATAAAGTGAAACATTCATGTGCTTAAACTATGTATTCTTACTCATTAATTTCTATTACCTATCATTATTCTTTCACTGAACCCTAAATTAACAACATAAAGACCAGTGACTGTGCTAAGTGGCAGGGGTACCCGCTGCACAAGCCAAGGACAAAGAACACAGCATAATCCCTCTCCAAAGCGGCTTCCCTTCCAAGTTTTCTCCTTCTTGGCAGCAGAGAGAGAGAGGGATCAACACTTTACAGGCCACACTCACCTTTCAAAGAAGTGGCCGTCAATGGGTGGGAACCACTCCAGCGTCACAGAGTCAGTCGTGTGGCCCACTATCTGGGGGGCCAGGGCGACAGGCGCCGGCTTCCTGGAAGGCTGCCAGCTCTGGTAGACCAGGTCCAGGTAACAGTGCATTCTGGCGACTTGATTGGGCGTGAAGGAGTCTGTACAGTCGTCATCTGCAAGCGGGAAGGAAGAGAGATAAGAACAGGGCTGCACAGGCGGGCATGCGAGAGAATTATGACGTCTCCCGGCACTCTTGGAGAGCCAGCACGCCAGGCCTTGCCAACTCAGAGCTGGCCTCTTCCAGTGCTCAAGAGTTAATGGTCTGTGAACAAATTAGTGTAGTCATCACTTCTGGAGACAGGTGAGGGGGAAGCAGGAAGGGGCGGGTGGATGGAACTGAAAAAGTACTTCTGAGACTAGAGAGGGAATAGCACAGAGGTCATGGCCAAGGACAAGGGCAAGGTGAGCTGCTTTCCAGGGGCCCCAAGTCACTGGTCAGTAAGTCACACATTTCCTTATTCCTTCCTTCCCTCACCACTCATTCCACATGTCTCATTCATTCATTCATTCACTCACTTATTCCTTTATGCATTCCCTGTTCTTTCACTCATCCTTCCTTCACTTCATCCACTTGTATTATTCATTCTGCTCTCCAAGATGTCACGATATTAACTTTCAAACAAACCCACTGAGCATCTATTACTAACACTGTGCTCTGTGCCAAGAGTAGAGAAGTGATGAAACGTTGAATTCCCTGTTCCTAAGGAGCTACCAGCCTAATTATAGAGTGGAAGATATTTTGTCAATGGAGCCAAGGTTGTCATGAAGCTGGTCAACCACATGTTGGGGAAGAAGGGTGACCCAAAGGGGCCTGGGAAGGAGATAATTGAAGTCAACTAGACCACCAGGCTAAGACTGGGAGAGAAAGTTGAGGGATTCAGGTGAGGGAACAACAAGACCCCAGAGCATGGCATCTGAGACAGAGAGCACAGGCCCCAGTCAGGCAAACCTAGAAAAACCCAGACTCAGTGTCCTGCTGGGACTGGACACCATGGCACCTGCTGCCCAGAATTGCCCATGGGCAATGACTAGGTGATTGGTGTGAGCCAGGCCCAGGCCACTTCCCTTTGGACATGTTGAACTCTCCAACAATTTCTGGAATAAATACAATCCCATAATTTCTGGAATAAATACAATGATTTTCTCCACTTTTCAGAGAGGGAGAAACTGAGACAGTCAAGAGGAGGTAGGGTGAGATCTGAAATGTGAACCCAGACATTCCTGATACCAAGGCCATGGTTCTCGCCAATGAGAGGACTTTGTGCGCATGGTGAACATGGATGAGACCTTGGACTGATAAGGTAGCCTGCAGGTGCTTGATAAACGGAAGTGGATTCTGAGTCCAAAGGGCTGGAAGACAATCGCTTAAATGCCTTTACATCTAATGACCTTCAATTCTACTCTGTCTTTTATAGGCTGTGAACCAAGACCTTCCTCCTAAGGAAGAAGCTTGCTTCCCATCTCTCCCTCCAACAGCTTTATTCAGCTGCCCCAGGGGCACTGTTTTGGCTTGGTTTCCAAAAACACCACTTCCCAGGAGTGTCCGCCTGGTCAGGGTTTCTGCAGCTGGGCCCCAGACAGAGGAGCACAGGGCTTGCCAGATCTTAAAATAAACCCACCACTGGGAATCCTGCAGCATAAACTCACTTCTCCTTATCAAATAAACAAAATACAATTGGGCAGGTGCTGGGCAGTTAGACATGACCTTGAGAATTCAGCTTAGAGAGGGGACAGGGGTGTGAGGAGGTTATACACGGAAGCTACTTCTGATCCCCTTAGTAATTATTGACAGTCTCTTTTCCAACACCCTGGGGAAGTCTTTCATGCATCTGGAAGAAGCAGAAGAGGCTGGTGTCTACTGTGAAAAAGAGACTACGGTGTCAATCTCTCTCAAGCCTAGATGGCATCATGTAACTCCTTCCGTACCAACCATTCTATGGCTCACCATTGCCTGGAGAATAGAGTCCAAACATTTCAGTATGAGAAGTGACAGATCATCCAGCATGTGGCTACATCTGCCTTTGTTACTATGAACCTTGCACTTTGACCTAAAGTCTTGTAAAAGGCACTGAGTAGGTTAGAGGCAGGAGGAGGGATGACAGCTAATGGCACATGGCTGTCCAATTAGACTAGTGCATGAAGGGTCTGGAGTCAAATGGGCAAGAGACTTCATACCCTCGGTGCCTCAGTTTCCACATCTGTAAAGAGGAGGTGCTGATGATAACAAGCACGTTCATCGTCGAATACAGCTGAGGTTAAGGGCAGTGGAGCACCAAGAACCATAAGTTCAATCGGAAATTGTGTGTGTGTGTGTGTGTGTGTGTGTGTTTCTGTGTGTATGTGCATGTGGGAGTGTTGAAAAACTGGAAGTGAGGGGAAAAAACAGATAGAAAAAGATCCACTGTCTTGGACCTAGGATTATCATATTTAGAAATCCAATGGATAGATCGATACTCAATGGATGATCGATAGATCATGGACAAAATATATGGAAAAAATATATGTCTAGGAACGTTTCCTTAATCATCATTTATAATAGTAAAAATGTAATAGAAATAATACAACTGTTAATAGAGGAATGGCTGTGTACATTAAGGCTCAGGAATAGAATAGAATACTAGTTAGTCCTTTTCTGAAGAAGAGAGTCAGTTTAAAACTCAGTTCCTTTATGTATAAATTGGGGATATTTAAAAGAACCCTACTACCTAAAGTTGTGGGGATCCAGGAGTGGAGGCACCCCCCCAGCATTTATCATGGTGCATGGGGAAGATAAACAGCATTTTGTTCTCTAATATACCCTAGTTTGTTTGCTCCTCCTCCCCTTGACTACCCTTCCCCCATTATCCTTTTATAATGTAAACTTAAGCCTTTTCCATGTTTGGTGGTAAAAAAGAGTTTGCAAAAGCTGATAGGTGATAGAGCCTGGCAGGGGAAGAGGAAAATACCTGACTTAAAGCTGAAGTCAGGAAATGCTAGTGTCAGGGGACATCACTTAGAGACTGCATTATTATCAGATTCTTAGGTGAGGCAGCAAAAGGCTCCCATTTATCACAAGACTTGGTCTCAATTAGCTAATGTCTAGCGTCAGCCTCTCCTGGATGGCTGCCACCACATGCTACCCCTCCTGACATTGTGGCCACTTGATCCTGGTCTCCAGGACCAGCCAGTCCATTCCTTTTTCTCTGTCTCCATCTGGTCCTTAAGCAGAAAGGACAGTGGGGGTTTCGGCACTCAGGGATCCTGATCAGTCCCCACGCTGTTGATACAGTGCCCTGAGTTCGTGAACTGAACTGTTTTCAAGGACACATTTCCATCTGTAGCTGGGAGGCCACAGATCACGAAGCTTCAGAGCACAGACTCAGTGCCTCACTCCCTATGGACCCCGGGGCAGAACGGTGACCTTGACACCCTCGTTTTCATCCACTGTAAAATGAGGAATAAGGATGCTGCATGCCTCCTATAGCTAATAAGAGCATTTAACAGGCTAACTCACTCTTAGTGCATGGATAACTGAGTGCCTCTTGTAAAAGTCCCTGCCTTTTAGAGATAATGATAATAATAGTAATAACAATATATGAGTATGAAAATAACAGCTCTCCATTGTTTAACATTGGGAATAGGTTGTAAAATGTTACAAAGACATAAATTATCACCCTAAACTAATTACCTATAGATGATACAATTACTGTTTAGTGTATGAATATGTATGTATGGATATGATTTTGTGAATTTCCATAATTCTCATTACCATAAACAGATATACATCTTATAGATGTATAGCAAGTCTTACAATTTGCATAGGGCTCATGTCGTACATAGTTAACACATAATCCTACCAATTGTCATTTATTGTGCGCTAATTATGGTATGGAGGACAGTTCTAAGTCTGCTACCTGTCTGACTCCACCTACCAAATAAGGGAGGTGTGACTGTCCTCCATGGCATCGATGAAGAAGGAATTGAAGTTCCCAGAGAAGTGGGAACTTGCTAGCATCAAAGACTACTGTGTGGAGATTCAAGTGCCCACACCCCAGACTTCACATTCTGAACCACGGTGTGGCCCTGCCATTACCCTTCACGTGGTCTTCAGGACCCCACAATGCTGTCTCAGGTGGATGCCTTGAGACTTATTTCAGTGATCCATTCTCTAAACAGACTTTTTAATTTTTCAAACATGTTAGCATTTTTCTTGTATGCCTGACATGCCTGTTTAGTATTTGGAGAATGATCATTGCTAAGAACAACCTTTTGATTAAATCTTTAAAGGCATCGGCAGATTTCTTTCCCTAGATATATTCCTTGGAGGTGGGGCTACTGGGTCAGAGTGTATGTACATATTAAAAGGCCCCAACACAGTAGAAAGGCTCTTGTAGGCTGAAGAAAGCCCCACACCCTGGAGGGGGCCCTGCCTAGTGGGTGCACTTGGTGGGCCCTCTCTGTCCAGGGTGCTACCTTTCCACTCGCCCAGAGCTTAGCTAGCACCTAATCATGACCACACACGCTGGTGCAGGCCTAGATTTGCCCCCATCACCTGCCTGGTGCAGGTTCAATCTGGTCACTGAGGATCTTCTCCACCTTTCCCAGGGACAGAATGAGAGCCAGAGAATGAGGGATTAATAACACACGCATGTCTTGTTCCTGCTGTGTGACCATGGGTGAAGCCTAGTTATTAAGCTTCCTAAACCACACTTTCTGCATCCATAAAATGGGTGCAATAATCACAGCACTTCACCTGGTTGGGTTATTTTGAAGATTCTAGAATATAAATCTATGCAGCATTTCCCACAGGGTCTGACATGTCACGGACAATTGATTACCTTAGACTTCTGCTGTCGGGATGGTAGCTACAGGTCAGGTGAAATTATTTCAGTTGAAATGAACTACAATCCCTTAGGACTAAGAGTGCAGTCCCCTGTTTCACCGGGCATACTTGCAGTGCTAGCCAGACAGACCTGATTGAGGCCCGCCACAGTGGGCAGCACAGGCATGGAACACACTGGACAGTGCTGCACTGGATTCCAAATAGGGGTCAGACCTGAGGACTCAGAGCCCAGGAAGGGCAGAAACCCAAACAGCTGGACTGGCGCTGTGTCTGCCTCTCCCTTGGACAGCAGGGGCCTTGCGCACGGCTCTCCCCAGCCCTGAGAACCCGATCTGGTTCTGCATTTTGAATTTCATCCAGCTGCTTTTGTCACCTCATCTATCAGAGATCCTAAGGAAAACAAACATTTCAAAGCTCGTGGTTGCCTTGAATATGCTTTTGCGGGTGTAAGTTTGTTATCGTAGCTCAGTGAATTAGTTCTGCTGTTAATGGGTCACTGAGCTGAGGGGTTCCTTTAAAAAAACAACAGTAAATCAATCGCCCTTTAGATCTGTACAAAGGGGAACAAAAAAAGATTTGGTTTATGGGGGTCTGGTAGCGAGTGGCAGCTCCTAGGCCCCTGAGAGACCGGCAAATTTCCAAACTCCTGTTATTGTTTATTTTCCATGTGCGTTGAGCTGGCCAAGGGAAGGTGCTACAGAAATGGGACGCAAGCAGGGCTGTGTGAGGGGACAGAGCACCGGATGTGAGCTGGAGGCTTGGCTGGGACTGGGAGCCCAGTGGGAATCTGCTTTTGAGGAAATACCCCGCACTCTGGGCTTGTTTAGAGATCTACACGTACAGCCTTGTTATGGTGCCGGGGGCGGGTTAGCCAGCCCTCAGGAAACCTCAGCTTCTGACTATATGAATCTAAAAGTGGAGAGGTCCCCAGGGGTCGTCAGCCGAAATGGAAAGCAGAAGACCCGCTGGGGATCATCTAATTGACTGGATTTTAGTAGGGAAATCCTCTCTCCAAATGCAACCTTGAGGCAAAAGCCCAACAGAAATAAGAAACAGTTGGAAGGGGGCATCCCTGATTCAAGGGGAGATGGGAATCGGGAGTTGCACCCACACAGAGGCTCAGGGCTGGCCCCCTAGGCATCTCTGAGGACCTGGGTGCAAAACCAGCCAGCCATTCACCTTCCCACTCCTGCATCATCTAGGTCTCTGCACAAGAATGTCTGACATAGAAAACACTTGTGACCTGGGGCAGATGACCGTCAGTGGTCCAGGCTGGACTTCTGCAAAGCGGGGAGAGCTCCTGCCCTACAGATGTTTGTGAGAATTAAATGCAATGGTGTGTAGCAAAGTCCTTTATGAACAAGTTTTCATTCAAGTAGAAATACTTCTATTGATAGGAATCAGTTTTGTTTAGTTGTTATGGGAGAATTTATTCACAGTCTCCTTCTCTCTCTTCCTCCCTCCTTTTCTTACTAACAAATGTGTGGTGCATCAGCCCTGTTTTAGGTTCTGGGAATAAAGTAATATATTACAGGCAATCTCTGCTTCACAGAACTTGCTTGTTCTAGTGGGGGAAATAGTCACCTGGATGTAATAATAATAATAGGATTTGACGTCAGGCTACCACGTGCAATTCTACAGTCCATGCCTTACATACGGCTCTTGGCTGGAGGGGCCAGTGGTGAGGGATGTGGCTGCCCTGGGAAGGCTTCTTCTCATTGCTGAAGATGCTATAAGCACTAGAAGTGAACTTGCCAGATGCTAAAAAGGAGTGCAGGGTATCTTAGAACTCAAAGAATGAGTTCCTAATACTGTTATAGCATGTAGATTTTTCCTGATAGGAGGTGGGGGGTAATAAGAGTAAAGGAGGGTGTAAGAATCTCACAATTAGGAAAACTCATCAACCACTGGCGTAGAAAAATACAGATGCAAAACTAGAAGGGGGCTTGGAGAGCAAGTCCAATGATTTCACTTCCTTGAGAAAAATGAGACCCGGAGATGGGATGGGATAGTCCCAAAGCCTGTAGGTGACCTAGTGGCAAAGCCAGACCTTCCACCCAGCTTTTCTGCTTCTGGTCATCACCAGCTTCCAAAAGTGTGTCTTTCTAAGGAGTTTTCAGATGTGACATTTTCCTTACGCCCCAGAGGTTCTCACAGAAGGAATATTATATTGATTATCTGGGATGAGGAATTGTTGGGGTGGAAGCAACTTAGGAAAGGTAAGCGGCTTGCTCCTGGCTCCTTGGAGCCAGGCCTGGACCCATGTCCGACATCCTGTCCCATGACCCTACCTGCGTAGCTCATGAAGTTGTTATAAGGAGTGTTAAAGAAGCTGTGGAAGCCGCAGGTGTCATTCCCTGGCCCTGGGTCACCGCAGAGTTTGTGTTTGGGGGCTGGGTTGGTGTCACTGCAGAGGTCTCCAGTCTCGAAGGAGGGCTCCGTCTCCATGCAGGGGTCACTGCAAGACTGGATTTCTGAGATGCCCCGGAAGATGTGGTATAGGCCCAGACTGTGCCCGATCTCATGGATCATGGTGTGGGTATGGCCAGGAATGCCATAGAAGGATGGGTTCAAGACAATGCCACCTGCCAGGGGAGAAACAGAGCATTAGCCGAGCTTGGCACAGTGCTTCGTGGAGCCAGAATTCACAAGTCCATCAAGGTGCTGCCTAAAACACCCCAGGCTTCTCCACCCTAAGACCTCACGGCACTGAGATCTCTTAGGACTGGTGATATGAGTCACCAATAGAGTAGGAAGGAGTCTCAAAAGTCATTTTGTGCAATTCCTTGATTTTTCTTTCTTTTTTTAAAAAAGATTTATTTATTTATGCATACAAGAGCTGGGGTCAGCTGGGGCAGTGAGAGGATTCACCAGAGACAGAGAAGGGGACAGAACAGGCAGATTGACCAAAGTACACTGCTGAGGGGAGTAGCGAGTGAGTCAGGAGAGGTCTGCTGAGCCATGTGGGTTGTTCCCTGGCTGGCCAGGAATCGAACTTGTGCTGCAGTGGCTGCAGATAGCTTCATAGGTTGCTTCTTAACACTTGCACCACTAGTGAGGCTCCTCCCTTGATTTTTCAGATGAAAATACCAATTCCTAAAGAAGTGGACAACTTATCCAAAGTGATTTCAAAAGAAGCAACATGATCAGAATTTCAAGAGCTTCGGTTTCTAGGCTGGTAAACATTTCTACTGCAACCTTTTCCCTAAATAGCAAGGCATGCCCTGATTTACAAACATTCTACACACTCTTGTCGAAATAATGTCCTCATGGCCAGACACCTGGGTTCCAGTTTGTGCTTTGGCTTCGATAGCTCTCTGACTTTAAGCAAGTCAATTCCTGTTTCTTCATCTCTGTACTCTATGACTGTGAACATTCCTGAAAGCCAGTGTAGTTCTAGCAGTTATAACCATTTTAACAGTGATAATAATAGCCAGTGTTTCTTGAGCATTTATTATGTGCCCTTTCCTTGCACCCTTGCTAAGTGTTCTATGGATCTAGTCACTCTTAGATCACAGTCCAGTGAGAGGGGCACAGATTTAGAAAAGTGAAGTAAGTGGCCTATGATCAAAAGGCAGTATGTGCATACTGGAACTTGAACCCAAGATCCTTGGGTCCCTAAGCCAGTGCTCTTAAGCTTAGTGCTATCACTTATGCTACACCAGGGCCTGGAATTGGGCATCTCATTAAAGGTAGCCTGAGTATCTGTTGAATGCTGACTCAAGCCAAGATGTTTTGTGAGGTCTAATTGTGTGTGTGAAGCTGGTACAGCACCTCCCATGAGAGGGTGTCTTTCTTATTAGGCACTTACTGCTTCAAGTGTGGTCTGAGAACACACAGTGTGAGCATCACCCTTAGGTTATCAGAGTCTCAGGCCCCACCCAAGACTGACAGAATCAGAAAATGTGTTTTCACAAGAGCAAGAGACTACGGCGACTTGTCTGTGTGCTCTACTCAAGAAGCAATGTTTTGCCTCCTGGGTCTTAGAAGATCAAATAGCACTTAACTTGGGGAGACAGCGGGACTGGACCCCAGCAGAATTGGATGCTAGCATTGCTCAAGATCCTTTGAGACACTGGAGAAATACTCATTTGAGACATTGGAGGCTAGCAGAGAGACATCTAAGTTTTAAAGTCCAAAAGGATTTCAGAAATGATTCAGACCTAAGTACCCTGCAAGTGGCAACTTTAAGGGCGAAGTGGAGGCCTGAAGAAGAATGGAGAGGAGGAAGAGTCTTGGTGGTGTGTACTGGCAAGCCTGGAGCAGGCACTGGGGCTTGGGGTGGGGGTTTATCTTGAACTGAACTGCTTAGGGCAAAGCTTGCTCAGTCATGGAGCCCACAGAGTCTCTTAATTCTGACCTGCTCAGCCTTCCAGAACACAGATAAAGATGTATGAGAGGGAGTGGTGTGTGTGTGTATGTGTGTGTGTGTGTGTGTGTGTGTGTGTGTGTGTGTGTGTGTGTGTAGGGGAAGGCAGAAACAAGGAGAATTGAGACAGGAAATCTCTCTCAATTATTTTCTGTCAATCATAATATGAAACATAATCCCCTTCCCACCCAAGGCTTTTTTTTCCAGGTGTAACAGCAGGTAAGAAAAGTCATGTGTGCGCGTGCGCGTGTATGTGTATGTGTGTATTCTGACTATACATATATATATATACACACACACATATATATATAGGGTTTGAGTTGGGTTTGAGTTACATCTCTAGGATGGTGGCAGCGGAGAGGCCAACTGAGGTCAGAATTCACAAGAATAGGACTGTACTCCTATTCTTCTTTATGCTGGCTGTGTAATCTTAGGAAAATGACTTTGCATCTCTGGTGAGCTGTCACATAAACAGCTACAAGAGAATTGATGACTCTCTGGCTCTCCGTGGAGCTTTAACATTGAAATAACAGAGGGGCAGGACCCCACGGGTAATCCAGGGATAATGATAGTATTGCAGAAAACACCAGGCCAGCCCTGCTTATTTTACCTCATCCACTCCCAATTCACCCCTTTCCACAGAGCAACAGCACAGAGCCCCCGAGTCCTGTTTCATTGCTTCTCTTAAAAGTGAAATAGCTGCAGCCTGACATCATCCTGAAATACTATAACATGCTATGGATTTATAGCTTTCCGTATTCCTGGTCCTGAGCCAGTTTCTGAAATTCATGGAATTATCAGGAGTATTTTTCTTTAACTTTAGAAACTTACTGCTCACCCTTCTCAGACTCTGATCATGGTGCTTTTGCTTGTTTTACCAGTAAGACACAATTTCAGGACTGAGAAGGGGCTGTGGGGCCTAACATTAAAAATCTGGGGAAAATGAGGCATGGGGCAGGAAAGAGACTTGCCTAAGGCCATTCTGCTAAGTTAAGTCACAGCTAAACTCAACCATATATACTGTCTCATCACAGAAGACACATAATAGCTAAGCACTGATCTTCAAGTTTGCTTAAGGGGCACAGCATCTTCAATCTAATCCCTGTCTGCCTACTTGTCTGTCTATCCAACATCTATCTCAGGTCTTCTAACATCTATCTCAGGTTTTCTTGATTTCATCATTATTCACATTTTGAACTGTTTAACTTTTTTATGGGCATTGTAGGAGATTTAGCAGCATCGCTGGTCTCTCTACACACCAGATGCCAGTAACATCCCCCTATTCGTAACAACCCAAACTATCTCTAGAATGTCTCCTTCATGCATAGAATCCACCCAGTTGAGAACTACCTGATATTTATTTTTGTATCTACCTCTAATTACACAGCCACACATGTGCCCACACATCCACAAATTGGTTTCATTCTCCTAAAAACAACTGGGAAAAAAGACCTACCTGGAGCAACTAAGTACAGAGTTTGATTCTGTACAACTTCACCATTTCAAGTTGTAGTGCCCCTTATCAACAGATACTGTAGCTACAGTACACCTGCTGGAGACTACTGTATCTGGGAGATCCAGGCGGGAGCTGGGGAGAACACCCAGCACTGTCACTGATGAACCCTACCATTCTCACAAGAGGCTCACTGGGTCATCAGTGTTCACCCTAACAGATAATGGGGACACACCACTCAGGGAAAAGTGGCTACATAAACTGCAGGGCCCTCACTCAATGGAATATTATATAGCCAAAAATTTTTCACCATTAGAGAGATGAAAATAACCCAGAGAGATGAGTTTTACTTGTGATGTTAGGAGGTAAAAGTTGGATGGGATGTAGTTATGAAGACTACCTCAACATGGAAAATGTAGATGACATCATATTACATGAAAAAGGAACATGAAATTGCTATGCTGTGATTTCAGATATGTGCAAGTTAAAAATGCATGTCTACATATAGACGTGTACTGGAAAAGAGCATGGAAAAATCAAAATGAAAGGACTACAATGTTTGCTTACAGGGCCTGGTTCAGAAACCATTGTCATTTCTGACTTTTGGAGATTGGTTTGTATAAACACAAGTCTTGTTTATCGACATGCATAATTTGAATGTAAAGAGTTCCTGGTGCTGGTGGTGGGTGGAATACGGAGGAACAAGCAGTTCTTGCAAACTCACTTTCTCTTGACTCTTTGGTGTCTTTCAAGCCAACCCATGACTGACTGTGCCAGCACAATGTGGTTGCCAGGCTAGGAAGATATTTGCATGAACAAGATGCAGGGGATATAAGGAGAAAGTAATCAATAGACAGAACTGGAGACTTGCACTTCAAATATGGCTCTGTCATTGATGTGTGGGTGTGATCACAGATAAGACCCATTCCCTCTCTGGATCTCAACTTCCCTATTAATCAAACAGGGTACCAATATTGTGTTGTTTTCTTCAAAGCATTACTTGGTGGTTAATAGGCGATAAGGAATGTTAGAGTTTTGTGCATCAAAGTGATAAGCAAATGGATTGTTGACCATCACCACCTCTACCACCATTGTCACAATCACTGTCATCATCCTTGCTACTACTAAATTTATTCCTGTACAAATCCATTTTCCTCCTGAAGGTGTTTCCAACTCTTACCCAAGTGCATTAGGGCCTCCTTGTCCCAAGGCCACGTTGCTACTCCAGCCAATTCCTCTTCCGAGGAGTTTGCGAAGAAGATATTGAGATGTGTTGATCCATCCAGTCTTAGAATGTTCTTCAGTTCGTTAACATCCAAATATGCTCTGCAATAAAAAAAGAGAAAGCTTACGGTCATCATCATCCCAAAAGAGATTGAAGTAACAGGCACTTCCATTGAATTAAGAGCTACAATGTGCCAGGCACTTTAGTAAGCATTTTATAAACATCACCTCATTGACTTCCTCCAATAATATCCTAAGATAAGTGAGACAATCCCATTTCACGGATAAGAAAGTCCTTGTGAGTTTAAGAGACTTGCCAAGGTTGCTCATCCTACAAATTGCAAAGTTCAGTTTAGAACCTAAATTTTTCTAGTCAACATCTGTGACTCAAAGGATGCTGCAATATTGACTGATGACAGGATCGTTCATGTGGGTATAGATCAAGAGACAAAGTATTCTCATTCTCATTTTGGCATCTTGCCTTCTTTGCTCATTTACAATGCATCTTGGGCCATTTATTTATTAGATACAGAGCAGCATGAGGAGGCCTGCTTTGCATCTCTATACCAACCTTTCAAGGGGTTTTTATTTCTTTGCAAGAGAAGCAGCATGTGGTTCAATGCTATTATACAGGTTGCCCAAAGTTACTGAACTGTGTTTCAAATCCAATCTTGTCTAGCCTGGACACCAATAATTTTTTTCACTGGGGTATCACATTGTCTCCCAAAGATGAGTCTGCATTCTGTTAGCCTCTATTTCTCTATCTGCACAATAGATAACCAAGGGATATTGCACTTGAAGCAGCTGTCATTGTAGACTGACATATTCAGGAAGTGAATTAGCGTCCCAGGCTACAATGGTGAGCTCTTTTTTTAAAAAAAAAAAAATTTTTTTTAAAGATTTATTTATTTATACAAGAACTGGGGCACAGGCCAGAGGCACATGAGGATGAGAGAATTCACCAGAGACAGAGCAGAACAGGCAGACGAACCAAAACACACTGCTGAGGGGAGCAGCGGGCAAGATAGGAGAGGTCTGCCATGCCATGTGGGTATCTCCCTGGCAGGTCAGGAATCGAACCTGTGCTCCAGAGGCTGTGGACAGCTTCACAGTGCTGGCACTCAACCTGCTCCACTACCGGGGAGGCCCTACAATGGTGAACTCTTTAATAAGTGCAATAAATACATGATGCAGAGAGGAAGACAGGGTCTTTGGAAAGAGACTGGCATATCCTATGTGCCCCATAAACAAGAATCCTTCCCTTGGGAAGGGTAACTCTCATCAGAATAGAAACACTAAATAATGCTTTGGATCACCAATAGGCATATTATTCAACAGTTCATTCTCGAAATACAGAGAAGCCTCTTGCTCCTCTCTCAGGCTTATTTCAGGCCCCATTTAAGTCTGCCATCATGTACCTTAGGGATCCTTGTGAAAAACTAATAGTCATTTCTTGAGTAAGGTTGGAAATGAATCAATGGATAAATTAATAAAAACATAAATAAGCCAGTAGGCAGCTTCAAATAATATGTGAGATAAAGGCTATGAACAATTATATTTAATGTTTGTTGGGCCTTTCTATGTGGTCTGACTTTACATGGATTAGCTCCTTTAATCTTCTTAATAACACTGAGATGGATAGTACTATTATCCCCATTTTCCAGAGGAGGAAACAAAGGTTTAAAGAAGCTTCAGACCTTGCTAAGGTCACCCAGTTAGTTGACAGAGTTTTCCTTTTACATAAAGCTGAATATACAGGGGGTCTGGCATGGAGCCTGGGCACTAGATCATATAATCATGACTCCTTTCTCTTTCCTTCCTGGAATCTCAGATGGGCCTCCTCATACGGAGTCAAGCCCAAGCCCCCCTGCATTTCCTGCAAACTCCTGCCCCCATCTTCAGGCCCCTATTTGCTCTCTTGAAGTTCCCCCTGTGCACTGGCAGTACCCACCGTGAGGCCTCTATGCATGCTGTTTCCGTTGTCAGGGACTCAGCTCCCCGTTTTGTCTCTGATGAACAAATCCAAGTCCATTCTGACACTACTCTTCCAGGATGACTCCCCTGACTCCCACCTCACCTTCACCCCCTTTGCCATTCCTTTGCTTGTCTACCTCCTAAGAATAGGTACTCTGATAACATCCCACCTCATTGCTTCACTTTCTATGTCTACCAGTCTTTGTGGGGCTGGGAATGTGCCTTATTCATCACTGTTTATCCAGTTCTCAGCACAGGGCTGGATACCTGGCAAATGCTCAGTAGATGCTGATGGGGTTGAGTTTATACTGGGAAAGAGAAAAGCTGAAATACATAGGTCCTGGTCTCAGTTTCCTGATCAATATGCTGAGATCTGTCCCAGCTGCCTGGGACTTCCCAGAACATTGCTATGAGTCACACATCTAAGACCTGATGGCAAGAGGGTAAGTCTTGAGACCAGCAGCCCTCTTGGCTACCTACAACATCACTGTCTCAGACTCATGAAACCCAATGTTCATGTGACCATAATTTGTATGGTTTTTCAAAAAAAAAAAAAAAAACAAAAAACAAACAAACAAACAAACAAACAAGCAAACAACAAAAAAAAAAAAACAAGGCTAACAGGAGCCAGAGATGCAGGTAGGGCCTAAACAGGTTACATCTATGACTGAGTTGAACTGACTAAATCCAAGGAAGATCATACAAGGTAAGGTATTGACCCCAGATCATGCTGCTGTGCCTTCTCTGTGTCAGATCCCTTCTTTAGCCCCTTGCATTGGAAGTCCCACAGGGCATTCAAATGAGTCTTCACAGTGATCAGAACAGGAAAGAGGAACGAACAAGGCAACATTTATTAAGCACTTGATGTATAGCTATCCCCGTGCTCGTGGAACAGTAGTCCATCTCTGCGCAGTATTTGAAATCATGTGGCCAAGTGGCAAGATGGCTCCTTCTCATGTCAGAGTCCTGAATTCAGACTCTGAATTCATCTCTTTCACCTGAAGTGTGGGCCACTCTGGGGCAATGTACTTAACTTCCTGTGTCCTAGTTTTCCCTAAACACAAAACAAGGATGATAATAGACCCTACCTCGTAGAGCTCAAAGGATTTGGTCATTAATAATGGAAGTGTAAAAGACTTCAAATAACTCCTGGCATGTGGAAAACCTCAATAAATGTTGAGCTAAGGAGCAGATTCAGAGATCACATGAATAGTGACAAAGCCAAGTGAAAATTTAGAAGAAACCAACTCTTCCTATTTCCAAGCTCACCCAGGACCATGGTATAAAGGGAAACAAAGTGAGGGAGGAGAATGAAAACACATAAAAGCTGAAATTTTCTTGGATCAGCCTTTTTCATATTGTTCATTATTTTCTAATTCACTTGTCCATTTGTATCAAGTGTTCTCTCAGGCAGAAAACACAAATGTCACCTCTTTACCCCTTTGCTCTAGGCTGAGAAAGCTTCATGAGTGGAAGAGAAGGGGTGGAGTAGGGGCAAAGAAGACATTTTAATTGGTTGTTTATTCAGTGGTAGTTGAAGAAGCCAATCTTTTTAGGGGGTGGTATTCAATCTGGCCCAAGGCAGAGATGTGTGATGCTGGAGTCACTCCCTGTTTGTAGGTGAATTTCCCCCCACACACACTTTGGGGAGCTTTCCTTTCCTCAAAGAGGAAGAATCTATGGCAGCAATTCATAGCCCAGGCCCCACTTGTCTCTCTTCTCTCCACCTCTTTTTTGGGGGCCCACCCAAAGAAAAGCAGCTCTGTGGCTAAATGTTTTCTTTCTGATGACTGAAGTTTTTCCACTAATACAGAGCCAAGCTGGGTGTCTTCCAAAAGGATTAGAAGAAAATCTTGGAGAGAGGAATTCATGTAGGTATCTATCTCCCTCCCCTTACCTCTCCTTAAGATACTGTTTCTCTCCTGTCAAAGGGTAGAGAAGAAAGCATAGAAGATCAAACTTAGAATCATAGAGTGCACGGAAACTGATGTTGAGAGAAGGAAAAGGACTTGACCAAGACCACTGGGCTTTCCATTTTCTAACTGTGGAAAGGTTGAGCCCATGTTTCCATTATAAAGTATTCATATTTAATTAAAAAAATCAATACCTCAAAGAAAGCAATCCAAATCCATCCATATTCAAAACTCATCCTACTACTCAGAGTTGAAGAGACAGACCTATGTCATAGTTACATTGCTTTTCCTCTCCAAGTGTCTGCCCACAGGGATGCTATAGGATGGAATGAGACAGCTAACCCAGGCCCGACACGTACTCCACATAATCTTTCCATATTCTATCTTCTATTCTCTTCCGCTGGGGAGAAACCTAAACGGATAGCTCACTCTGGGTGATGTCCTTAGTCTCGGTTTTCAGCATCTTTATTTCTTGCCCTCCACCTAACTCTCTTAATTCAACCTCAACCACTCAAGTCAAGTCATCCTGGTTTCTGATCCTGAGAACCTCTGATTTTCCCTTATTATGGCTATCCCCTAAGCAAGTCTGTTAAGTTTCCTTCCTCTGCCTCATAACCTCTTCCTGAATATCTTTTAAAACCTTATCCTGGGCTTCCCTGGTAGTGTAGGGGTTAAGTCTCAGCACTATCAATTCTATGGCCTGAGTTCAATCCCTGACCAGGGAGCTGACCTCCATGGCGCAGCAGAACTCTCCTGACTTACCCACTGCTCCCCTCAGCATATATTTCAGTAAATCCTCCTGCTCTGTTCGCTGCTCTGTCTCTGGTGAATCCTTTCACCACTACACCTCTGGCCTACACCCCAGTTCTTCTACATAAAAATATTTAAAAACAACACCTCACTCTGCTAGCTCACATGTGAGGTACTCCATGTCTCTGCTCCTGGCCACCCAGAGAGATGGGATGTTGACATGCACCTCTGAGGGGCACTGGGGGGAAAGAAGCAATGCAGAGAAAGTGCCTGGAATAGCACCTGGCATGGAGAAGGCATGTGCTGGTTGGACAGGCTATTCTTCTGTCGTGATGGATTACTACACAATATTAGTCACAAGGAAGTCATGGTCATCACTTCTAGCTGTGATGACTCCTTCCTCCTCCAAGTCCCCACTTGTGATTTTGTATTTATCACCCTGCTTTGTGGCAGCTCCATGGTGTA